TCCAATGGGCTATGAAAACATTATTTCCTGTAACTGTTGCTGCTGAAGCTTTTCTGCTGCTGTAATTGGGGGTTGTTTGTGGGTTGTTGTTTTTTTAAAAGAATTGCACACTTCTATTATAGTGTGTGTGTACATGTATGGATATATATACAATGCTTATGCTCTTAAGATGTTGCAAGTTGCTGGGAAACCTTTTTTGGGTAACAAGCAACTGACAACTTTTGTTGATAATAATTCTGGAAAAGATCTGTTGAAAGTTCTCTGTGGACAAAAGTTATACTAGATCTAGGTTTCAAATGGAAGTGATTGAAGGGAAAGTGTAACTATTGAAGGCCGCATACAGCATACTATTAGAATGGGAGACGAAAGATGAAGAGGTAAAATCAGTTATGATTAAATGAGCACAAGATGTAGGTCACAACATTATGATGGAAGATTGGGTTAAATTATGGAAAACCAACTTAAAATTTACAGACTGTTCCCTATTGAAGGAGAATTACATGAAGATGATGTACAGATGGTACACAACACCAGTGCAGTTAGGGAAAATGTACAAAACTAGTTCAAATATATGTAAGTGTAAGGAAAAGGAGGGGACATTTTATCATATGTGGTGGGATTGTAAGGTAATTAAAATTTTTTGGGAAATGATATACAACGAATTGAAGAAAATGTTCCATTTAACATTTGTTAAAAAACCCGAGGCATTTTTGTTGGGGATTGTAGGGAAAGACCTGCCAAAAAAGTTGAAAAACATCTTCATGTATGCGACAACGGCCGCGAGAGTTCTGGTAGCACAAGGATGGAAGACTGAAGAAACCCCAACTAAAGAATTCTGCTCTGTATTCTGCTCTGGTCAGACCTCACCTGGAGTACTGTGTCCAGTTCTGGGCACCACAGTTCAAGAAGGACACTGACAAACTGGAACGTGTCCAGAGGAGGGCAACCAAAATGGTCAAAGGCCTGGAAACGATGCCTTATGAGGAACGGCTAAGGGAGCTGGGCATGTTTAGCCTGGAGAAGAGGAGGTTAAGGGGTGATATGATAGCCATGTTCAAATATATAAAAGGATGTCACATAGAGGAGGGAGAAAGGTTGTTTTCTGCTGCTCCAGAGAAGCGGACACGGAGCAATGGATCCAAACTACAAGAAAGAAGATTCCACCTAAACATTAGGAAGAACTTCCTGACAGTAAGAGCTGTTCGACAGTGGAATTTGCTGCCAAGGAGTGTGGTGGAGTCTCCTTCTTTGGAGGTCTTTAAGCAGAGGCTTGACAACCATATGTCAGGAGTGCTCTGATGGTGTCTCCTGCTTGGCAGGGGGTTGGACTCGATGGCCCTTGTGGTCTCTTCCAACTCTATGATTCTATGAATCATGGCAAGAAAAACTGATGGACTATGCAGAACTGGCAAAACTGACATATAAGCTATGGGACAAGGATAACTGTGACTTTAAGGATAAATGGGATGAATGGGAACCTTTTACAAAGTATCTGAAGACGCAACAAAGCGAACTGGACTCCTTGGCAGGTTTTGAATAAACATTCACAATTTTTTTAGTGATAATAATCAGCTAAACAGTTTGAGGATCTATACAACTTTGTAACATGCAGAAAACAGCTTTATTAGAGAAACCAAAGACTGGAACTGAGGGAAGTTGGGGGGTGGGGTGTGGGTTCTGTGTGGGAGGGGGAGGGGGGAAATGGGGGGGGAATAAGGATGATATGTTTTTGGATAATGTCTTGTTATAATTTTGAATAAGAAAAAACAAACAAAAAAAGTTATTTGCCACTGCTTACTGATGGACTTTCTGAAGCATCAGTCAACAGGAAAGGTCTTAGAATGAAATAACTATTTTTGTGGTTTTCTGGTTTTCTGGGTAACAGTGCATACACTCCTTATAATGTACTCCCTTCCTTGCTATTAGTTTTCTGGATACAATGACAAATCCAGATCTAGGATGGACATCTGGCCGGTCCCAGTTTATAATCTCATGTTTTATTCTGCCGTTGAATTGGCTGCAGCACGTTGACACTGTGCATTGTCCTCACAAGAGTACAGTCTTCTTAATCCTTTTCTGAATATATAAGAGGCTTAAAGTATGGAGAAATATAAAGCAAGCACTTGTTTTATACTAAGCTCTGGCTATGCTGCTTTAATCGTATTTGCACTTACACAAATTCCTCATTTGCCATGGAAATTGTTCACACATTGGGATATAGCAATCAGGGCTGTTATTTTCCCCCTCCTTCCAATACTGCAAGGAAATAACAGATTATTCCCCCTCCATTTTCTACTGTTCAACCCAAAGCCAAAGCCACATATATCAGGCTTCCCACAACCTCGATCCATGTTTCCTTCACCTTACTTCTTAGTGAGGTAGTAAGTCTCTGTGTGTATCATACAAAAAACATTGCTTCACATAGATAACTAGCATGTCAGGGAGGCTAGGCTAGAACCAGGGATGGTGCCCCACCATAAGGCAAGGCAACCGCTTGTCTCAGATGGAAAGGTGCAGCAAACTGGTGTCCTCTTGGCCTGTTTGCCGGTTCCTACCATTTGCAGAGTCCCGCACTACCTGTTCCTGTTTTGTTGACTGGCTAGCAGACTGCGGCTGGTGCTATGGCCAGCCGGCCACCACCTCCAGCCTAGTGATAGCTAGCCAGGACTTCAAGAGTTCTGCCACTTTACTGCCTCTGGAAAGTGGTAGCAGGGGTCCCAAAGTGCTGCCCTTGGCTATTGCCTCTGCCTTTGAGGTCCCTTCCTCAGAACAAGGCATAGAAGGCAAGGTGAGCCTGCAGAGAAGGCCGGTTTCAAGTGATGCTGTTTATTACTGCAACATGTTAAATGATAGTTTGCGGTGGCGGGGCAGGCCTCTTTACCCACAATGCCTCACTCTGAGGAAGGATACTATGCTCTGCAGAGCAAAGTGGCCCCAAGGTAGCTGGTGGAAGCAGTGGATGAGGGGGCATCATTGGGAGCAGGGGAAGAATGAAGAGGTGATGGTGGTGTGGTGCCAGGAGTGGGGTCCAGGGCACAGGGAGGAGGCAGCTGGTTTGCTGTCTACCATAGACTCATAGCATCATGGAACTGTAGAGTTGGAAGGGACAACAAGGATGAGCCAGTCCAACCCATTGCAATGCAGGAATCATTCTGCCCAATGTGGGCCTTGAACCCATCACCCTAAGATTAAGAGTCTCAAGCTCTACCGACTGAGCTATCCCAACACTAGTTGGACCTGCTTAGACCTAGCTTTTCATCCGGAGAGCATTAATTTTTGAATGGAAGAGTATTCAGTTACATTAGGCCCTACCTGAAGTCTGCAGTGGTACAGCCTGAGCCCTCAACAAAAACTAGGCTGATATGAGAAAGGGGCAATGTATATGGTTGTGCCAGGAGGTGGAATGCCTTTTATATCATAATAACCTGCCTAAATAGTTATGATTAGCTGCTCCATCTTTTATTCTATTTGGGCCTTGAAAAAAAACAACTCATTAAGGAAAATTCAGTGTGAAGCTCTTCTTAACAGTGACTCATTGGCTATAATGAGTTAGTTTGACACAAAGCAGTTTAAAAACAAGATGGTGTGTGTTCCTCCCTGCCTTGGCTAAAATGAAAGGACTTTAGCATGCATGTCTGTCTCATGCAAGGCATTCAATCCAAAGTTGCTTAGGAACTCTGCTGAGCATGGGAGATTCTGTACATGGGAAAGTCAATTTTTGTTGTATATTGCAGCCCCAAGAGGGAACCCCCCCCTTTTCCTTGCTTCTATTTCATCATCATCAGATGATTATATTTCCACTAACTGGGGTTAAAGAATGTTCAACTCTAGCAATGCCAGAATCTGTGGCCTAGGACCTCAGACATAGCAGAAAGCTACAATTACTGCAAACCAGCTTCCAGCCATAGTTTGGAATCTACTTTGGCAGCACCTCACAAACTATGGCTTGTAAGCTGTTGCAGTTTCAGACATAACACCAAACCATAGTTTGGCATAACATCTGCACAGAGCCATTTTGTGTTATTAAACATTCCGGGGTTGTGGGTGGGAACAGCATCAGCATAAGCATCAGGGGGGCTGCCTTTTGACTGAAATCACAATACATCTCACAACATTAATATAGCAATACAGAACTCGCCAGGCAGATTGCTAAGATGAGAGGCATTAAACCTGCACAACACATTACATAATGAAGACTGATTTGGCAGGCTTGACTGATGAGAGATCCAGTCACGCATCCCTCCATCAGTTGCCAGATTTAAATAAATGGCATTCATGAAACAGTAAGAATTTTAGAAACAATTCCCTCCTTTTGCAAACACCCATTTTATGCAAATAGGAAAACAGAGGCACAAACATACGGCCTAAATACTGGATACTGCCTTAATCGCTCAACAACCCAGAAATACCCTATGTACAAACAAGCAGAAAGCCTTAACAGATCCCCACTATTCCCTCCCTCCCTGCTTGGTTTCCTGCAGTTCCATCTTGCGACAACAACAACAAAACAATGTGCTTCACAGCTTGCAGTTCATTTGAGGGACATGTAAAATGGGAGTGACCTGCAGAGGTTAGAGGCATCTTATTTGGCAAATGGCACGGGCCAGATGGAGAGGCAAGTTCGGCAGCGACATCTGCACGGCGTCCTTTCAGTAATGTGAGAATTGCTGGTAGACAATGCAAAGCCTTTCTAGTGTGAGACTGTGGTCGACTGGAGTCATAGTAAGTGGTTTCTGCTACTGGATGCCTCCAGTTGTGCCTGCCTCAATTTGGGACTGTTTCACACATTACACAGCAATAAGCCTAACACAGAGTGGGAGACTCAACGAGAGTACGCAGCTAAACCTGGATCCCGGGCAAGCATGCCTGTATGACGTACGAGGTTTCTAACACCAATTTGTCACGATATTTTCGAGTGCGCACTTCAAAACCCAACCTAGGTGTACAGTTAAGGGATGTAGCGTGTGTGTGAAGAGGCCCTTGCTTAATGCCACAGTGCGTTACTTCGTTTTGTTATCAGTTTCAGCCTTCTCAATCTTCTGTCCTGTGAGGAACTGCCATATCCCCCCTCTGTAGTTCTCGTTCCCCAGAGCATAGACCAAAGCATTCACGGCTGGCGAGATTTTGGCAATAACAGCAGGGATCTGTTCGGAAGCAGAGCATTTAAGGAGGTTAGATAAGGATGGGTTCGTGTTTACACAGAATTTCATAATGAAATGATCAGCAACTAATTTTTAACAGCGGCCATGTTTTTCAATGAGCTGGGACTGATGGAACAACCTCCCCCATTCTTCCACTCTCTCTCTCTATTCCTACGTTCTGCCACTTCCATTTGGGCTCCTTAAATCTTGGGTCTGCACAACTGTTCTTGGCTCTACCAGTGGAGCAAAGGACCGCACATTTCTTCTGGGTTGTGGTGCATTTGCCACGATCTCAGGTGTGCTCCTCTTTGCCTGGACTCAGTGGCCAGGCAGGGGGCGATGATGTTTATTTCCCCACTGCCATCCATTTATAAGGTGCTTTGCAGAGTTAGGCAAAAGGGTTAGTGGCCTGTTCTCAAGGATTTTACAGTCTAAAATGGATTGTGTTTGGGGAAGACAGCAGAGGGGGTGGATGGAGAAGAAAGGGATGGATGAGAACCTAAGAAGCTGCCTTATACCGTGGCAGACCATTGATCCATCTAGCTTAGTACTGCCAGCAGTTCTACAGGATTTCAGACAGGGGAAATGTCTAGCCATATCTGGGGACACGAGGGATTGACCCTGGGACATTCTGCATGCAAGGAATAAGCTCTGCCATTGAGCTGCATGCTCCAATCTCCTTGCCTCAGGCTTCTGGGTGTTCTTTCTTGTACTCTCCCATTGATACCAAGTGCTTAGAATTGTCTGCATTGCACGAAAGATCTTTGTGCTCTCGGGCTATTTTTACATACCATTCGAATTTTGGGGGAGATGAAAGTCACATTTTCAACTGCGGCATAGAAACATAAAAGCGAGTAGGGACCCCAGCAGATGACCAAAGATTTCACTGGCAAACCAGTATTAAACTGGAAAAAAACAAGAACAGAGAACGTGGCATTGCGTAAATAAAACCCATATAATAAGTTAAGACTGATACAGCCAACAAAAGCCCTTTTGGTACAACAGGAGCACATGATTTTGAGACAAAATAAATGTTTCCAGCACTTTGCCACAAACAGATTCCACCCCCCTTTAAATGGCAACCATGAGGAAGTTGAAAGACTGCTTCTTTTGCTTATCAGACTGTATAACCAAGCTATAGGAGATGGTTCCTAGAGTGGGAAAGGAAGCTGTGTACAACCCTTTATATGCTGGGGTATTTTCTTACCTTGAACTGTCCTGTTTTCTTGAATTTGTGATCTACCGATTGATAGGCTGTTAGCATGATGAACACCGGAATCAAGAAATTGAAAAGGGCCAGAGGAATAAGATAGGAAATATAATTCCTGGAGGGGGGAGGGGAGAGAGGAAAGGACAGAGATCTGTCATTCTGTTTGCAATGTTATATAATTGATATTAAAAACCACTTAGGAGAGAAATCATATATTCAATTAGGTTTAGCAAAACATCTTAAGGGGCAGCTCTCTGTGTTAAACATAATAATAGTTCTGTAGGACAACTCTCTCTGGTGGGCTGCCTGATTTCTTAGGAGGCACAATAAGATTAGTGGAGGTGGGGCAGGTGAGGCCCAGAGATGGAAAAATCCATCAATTTCACTTTCTCTCACTTTCTCATTTTTCTAGCCTTAAGTTCACTTCTCCACATTAGCTTGCAAACTTTTTAAAAAAACAACCTCACGAAAATCCACCAGCATTTCAATGCAAAATCCTTTGAATATGCACGTTGTTTATTTCAGTTTTGCCTCATATACAATTTTTTTTGCAAAGCAATTTCCCCTAATGCATTTTTGCAAGTGATTGTCACCAACGTTTTATGCATATTTTACCGCAGTATGTGCATTTTTGTACATGTCACATGGCTGCAGAACTCCATTGCACCATTCAGAATGTCAAAGGATGGCTGCGTTTTAGCAGCACAAGAGCAATATTCTGCCAGGCAACCTTTTGCCCCTGCCATGTATATGTTTGTCTGTAAAATTCATTTTTACCAGTTGCGCCTATTTTTATTTTAAAGCCACACAGAAATGCCTAGACGGAACACACCTGTCTCCTTTGCTATAGTCCAATGTGCAACATGTTCTTAGAGGCTCGTAGTCATATTCACCCCATCCTAGAAGAGGCATCACAGCCCAAAAGCCAGCAAAAAGCCATAGAAATATCACCATGGAAATCACTGAGCCCCACTGTAGCTTACTTCCTGTAAATGAGAAGAAATCAGATTCATAAACTTGGAATGGAAATAAAAGCAGCAAGTCTGAGTCAATTGACGAGGGATTTCTATTGAGAGAGTAGGCCGTGGTTAGAGAAAGGAGTGACTAACTTATGTTGAAACAGGGAGTGTTTCTTCTTTAAGACAATGGATGGTGAAAGAAAAAGCCAACCTTCATGAAGTGCATCTTATTTTGGATAGATCTAAAAAATCTAATATCTGTTTTTCTACACTCCAATGAAGGGTGCTTTAGATTGACTCAAGATGGATACTTAGGACAAGATAATTTTTAAAATTCTGACTTTAAATTGTTCATGGACAATCAAATCCAATTTAAGGTAGAGATAACACTGTCTTCCCTACTGGTGTACGATTACAATGCCTCATAACAATAGTATTGCATCATGAGCCCTGTTCTACAGGCAATTTACTGTCATGCCCAAGAATTTACTGTTCTACTGTCATGCTTTGGACTTGTAATGTGGCAGAATGAAGAGGAAGCAGATGTTCCTCATGTTTCCTGCTCTCCATGCCAGAAAAGCATCTCCTCTACCTTGGAAAATTGCAATATATCTGGTGCATCTACCAGAATCCAGACATGCGGACATTTCCCCCCTCCCCCACTACCCCAAGGCAGCACCATCACATCCATAGTTCTTGTTATTTTCCAAAATATTTCATTGAAGATTATGTTAACACCCTTTCAGAGCTACTGCAAACAATGTCTGGTGCTTTTTAAAAGCACATATGATTTAAACTGATAGGTAAAGATGAAGGTTTGTATCAAATAAAGTCATCTGGTTAGTGCAAGAACTTTTCCCTGTGCAACAGGACTTCCCCTGTCTCTCCTCTCCCCATGTGCCCTTGCCCCTGCATGTCCCCAGACTGTTCTGGGTTCACCCTATTCTCTGGAGGAGATTTCAGGAAGGGCACGAGGGGGGCATGCAAGGATGGAAGATGGGTAGAAAGTCCTGTTGCACAGGGGGAAGGTCTTTGTGCTAAAGTGGCAAAACTTCATTCCGCTTTCTACCACGGACCAGCAAACCTCTTTTAAAATTCTTAAATATTTTATTTGTCATGTGTCCATACCAGTTTGTAATACTTTTACATCAGCGCTCCTTCTTGTAAACCAGGGTGGGTGTAATTTACAATGAACTAATGATCTAGATCAGGCATCCCCAAACTCGGCCCTCCAGATGTTTTCGGACTACAATTCCCATCATCCCGGACCGCTGGCCCTGTTACCTAGGGATGATGGGAGTTGTAGTCCCAAAACACCTGGAGGGCTGAGTTTGGGGATGCCTGATCTAGATCTATACAAATACCAGGCTAGTACTTACTAGTGCAGTATTGATGATATCGGTCCCAGGCAATGGAAGCTGCAGAGCTAATGCTAGTCAGTGCTGTCAAAAATCCTTGAAACCCATGAATCTGGCAACCATCAGAGCCATAGGGCCAGTATCTGAAAAGAGATAAATGAAAACATTGGAACCTGCCATAGGTGGAGTGATCAGGACACTGATCTCACGCCCTACCTGGTTAGGAAGCAGGGCTGACCAAGACATTTTGCCACCTGAGGTGAACCACAAAATGGCTCCACCCACCCACCAGGGAAGAACCTATGTCAGGAACAAGGGGGAAATAAAGATTTACTTTGGGAACAAGGGGGGAGTGCAGAGGCAGCAACAGTGGGCAATGCATTCCTTGGAGGCTGAATCTGCTGCCCTTGTGGATCTTGCCACCTGAGGCAGTTTCCTCATCTTGCCAGCCCCGATAGGAAGGCAAAGTGGGCATCACCAGAGTTATGTGGGTCCGCTCATGCTGTATCTTTTATGTTTGTGTTGTTGGAAGTACAACGGCAGGGAACATTCAGTGTGTGAATTAAGGGGTTAATTCTGTTTCTGTTTTGGCTCACAGCAGACTCTGAGTGGCTGGAGGTTCCAGTCAGCTGGGAAAGAATTGCAAGCGTGGAAGACATTTGAGATTTGACAGTTAGTGGTGTTTGCATGGAAAAGCGGCTCTGAAGGAGCTTCTCCTCTGTGCAGGTCTGGCTGAAGAAAAGAAAAACCTCTCTGTATATTTCTCCTCAGGTTATACCCTGCTCTTGTTCACTTTACCCTAAGTAAAGTATTATCCATTTCTTTTTCTCTTTAATCCAGTCACTCTGCTAACTGGTTATGGGCCCAGAAACACTATTGCTGTCACAAGCAAGTGTGGTTATTTTTTTTTTTAAAGTTTTTATTTATACCTTTCAAGTTTATACATTTCATTTACAATCAATTTCATTTCAAAATTGGACTTCCTTCCCCCTCTTTTTGCGGTTCCTTAAATTTATTTATTTTTAATATCTTCTGCATATCCAAATTCATTTCACTTGCTCATTTAAATATATACTATATGCTGTATACTGTATACTATATATACAGTATATATATATATATACTGTAAATATATACTCTTGTGAAACTGTGGGTTATTACAATAATCCTGCTAATGTTTTTATCTGTTTACAATTTATCTGAAAAAGAATCAATAAACCATTTCCATTATTTTATAAAAAGTTTGTTATCTTGATTTCTTATTCTTCAAGTAAGTTTTGCCATTTCTGCATATTCTATGAGTTTCTGTAGCCATTCTTCCTTTACTGGGACTTCTGCTTCTTTCCACTTTGGGGCAAGTAGGATTCTTGCTGCTGTAGTAGCATGAATAAATAAATTTCTATATGATTTAGGTAGGTCTGTCCCTATAATTCCCAAGCGAGCCTGGCTCTGAGAAAAAAGGAAAGTAAACCTGAAGCAGAACAAAGCATCTGAGGGGAAAATGGGAAGCAGTTCAGGCTTGAAACCGGGTACTGAAAAGCTGAGCAATAGGAACAACCCACTATGGAAATCCAAACTAGAAATCCTACTGGAAACTCACCTGTGGAAAATGCTGAGTACAGACAGACCTACTGACAACCCTGAAAAACTAGGCCAAAGAGAAGAGGCAAGCAAAGGCAGCGATCTGCCTGTTTGTGGAAGATGACCAGCTCCTTCACATCAGGAAAGATGATACAGCTAAGGGGATGTGGAATGCCTCATAGAGACTGTGTGAGCTTGCAGATTTAAGCAATGACCGCTCCCCACATCAAATGGGGGGCGCCTTTTGCGTGGTTGCGTGCAGCCCCCTGGATCCCAGTGTGGCTCCTGGTAGCACGGCTGGCTTCGCCCACCCCAGGCTGGAAACCTGGAGGTCTCCGCCTACCTCAGCCAATCGCCCAATCCCGCCTGGGGAGGCGTTGCCAGGGGATCGGCCAGGTAGGGGGAGTGACCGCCGTGCCCACACAATGGAAGGTGAATCTTACCTGCGAAGGGTCAGTTGGCTCCAGAGCTTCTCCCACTCTGCCCCCCTCAGTTAAGCCTTTTTTTTTTTGCAGGCTAACCTCTTCTCCACAGGTACGCGGGCACTGCTGCGTCATAGTCACTGTTGAAGGGCCAGAAAGGAATTTTCCTGCATTGGCAGGTTTTGCCTTCCCTGTAGCAAAACGTCACAACTTTGACGGTTTCAGGCCTTGGGCGGAATCCTTTAGTCTATCTTCCTAAATGGGGGGAGGGGGCGTGAAGCAGTGATCCACCCCCCCTTGCGGTAGTGATCCCAGGGTTCCCCGTTAAAGGGGTCTTGAGGGGAGGCATAGGCCATATGCTGAGAGGTTGTCATTGCTCTCCTCTGTGACGGCGGCAAAATGGGGGGCAGGCTCTCTGCTTGAACATATGTTCTCCAGAGCCAGCCCAATTCCCACATATTCTGGGTAACCCTGATGTCTCCCAGATCCCCGGCTGGGGACAGGGAAGGATAAACATCCAATGCCTGAGCCAAGGTCTCCCTACATCTGAAACTTAATAAAGTTGTGGCCAATTTTAATCCCATAGCACGTTGTCTTGTCATTATTCCACTCGGGGGTCGCCTGGGTTGGGGGGACTCTGCCTGTCCATGCAATAAGATGTATCTGCTGTGCAAACTGTATGGAATCTGGATGCATTGCTCCATTCCCTCCTGACTCACTGCACATTGACACTTCTTACCAGGAGCTAACCCCAAGTATAGGAATTGTCAGTTTAAGAAGACTGGGAGCTTCTACTATACAGAATTTTGAATTTTGTATGTCCAGACATTGTAGCACCCTAATTTATTTTCAAAGCAGCATGCGTGAGTATCACACATCTGAAATACATTAGTTTATCAGTGGCTTAAAAGGACGGATAAAACACATCAATTACTTTTTTTTCTTAGTGGAAAGGCACGTTATATTATTGAATAAATGAATAAATAAAATCTACCTTAAGAAACTAGAGAAAGCTGCAATGAATGCATTGGTGCAGATTCCACAGTCGGACAGTGCAAGGTTGAAAACCAGAAAGTTGCCAGGCGTTCGAAGTGCTTTGATTTTCCAGAAAGAGATGATGGTCAGCAAATTCAGAGAGAATCCAAGCAGCGCTGAAAACAAGCACAGGTTTAAAAGGGTTGTTTTATAACTTTCGCTCATGCTTGGACTCAGATGGACCAGAACAAACTACACCAGCCATACCATCAAGCATTCAACAATGCCCCAACTTTTCTTACTCACATAGTTACTTTTGTATCCCTGTATCTATTTATAACGATCAGAGTTGGCTTGGACTAGTTATGACAATTAACTACAGCCAGAGAGAAGAATAAGGAATCAGACTGAAGCATGGGGCCTTTTGATTTGCATAAAAATAGGGGGTGTTGTCCAATGCTATTCTTCTAGCTAGTACAAGAGAGTTTTGCATGCACACACCCAACTAGGATAACTGGTCAAAAGAAAGAACAAAACAATTGGATAGAAGGGGGAAAGGGTTAACTTCACTCCCTCATCATGGTTCCAGTGCAAACTGTGCTTAATCACCCAGGGCTGTTTTCAAATTTAAGCACAATAATTGTGGCAAAACACATTTTCAGTTTCATTTGGTTCTTTGCTTTTACTTGCATTTTTTAATTATAAAAATAGCATGGTGTTTTCTTTATTGGCATTTGTTCCTCACCAAACAACAACCAACTGTTAGTAACCCAGTTAAGAGATGCAGCCTTTTCCAACCTGGTGCTGTTCAGAAGTTTTAGACTAAAATTCACACTAGCCCCAGACAGCATCAGTCTGTGTATCTCTAGCACACAATTTATTAAAAAGGGGAACAAATTAAATTCATTTTCCAAGAGACCAATGTGGGTTACAATAGATCCCAGTCTATTATTTTAATACTTTGCATTTTTAATAAAAATCTAAACATGTACAGCAAACAATCATGACAAATAAATAAGGAATTATATTATGCAGATTATAAAGATATATAGAATATATAGAATAGATTATATAGATGATAAACAACTCAGGTTTATGGAAAGCTAAATTTGGTATGACAAAAGACTTGGATAGTTGGTTAAAAGGAGGTGGAAGAGAGAAAGGATGACAAATTATTCAGTGGAACAGCTGAAACAAAATTGGTTGATTCTCAGCATATTGATGGATGGCCCTCAGTAGGAAAGTATGTGTGGGTAAAAGGATCAGACATGCTCTTGTCTGTAAGATGGTGAGATGTTAATACCACTAGTACTGCCAGTCAGGTGACTAAGCATGCCATCTTGAGTTTGACATCGCTAGGAGCTCCCTCAGCCTCAGGAGCAATCCTAAGTGTGCCTTCGAGCAAGGTGGTATAACTGAAGCTTCAGAAAAATCAAATCTCCCATGAAAGCTATCTGCAGATTGCTAAAACCATCTGGAAGTCTTCCTGAGTTGCCCTGCAATAATTCCCAGTATCCTCAAATTTCCAAAGCACAAGTGTGCAGGATTAGTAGAGGCACTTATCATGGTTTACTGGGGCAGCAATTGTAACTCTCCCACGGCCCCAGTTAGGACTGCTCTGCCTGTGAACTAAAATGACCTTGGTCCTTTATATTATTGGGAGAAAGCCACAGCTCTGCTTTGCATGCAGAAGAATAAATCTTCACGCCTCAGCATCTCCAGGAAAGCCTAGGAGAGACCCCTGCCTGAAATCCGGAAGAGCCACTGTCAATCATTCATTGTAGATAATACCGAGCTAGTTGGGGATCATAGAATTGTAGATCTGGAAGGGACCATGAGGGTCATTTAGTCCAACCCCCTGCTATATATATTTGCTCAGAACTGAGGCCCACTGTGTCCAATTAAGTGTGCATAGTATCGGAATTTGAACAATTCCTTCTACTTTATGTGACATCCATTACACTGCTGGGTAGTTAAATCAAGGGGCCAGATTCAACTAAATAAAGCTAATGAGAGCCAGTGCCATGGGTCCTGTTAGCGCAACAGGGCTTCCCCCCCTCTCTTCCCATGCTTCCCCAAATCTGCCCCCCCAAATCAGCTCTGAGGAGTCCAGAGAACACCCAGAACAGCATTGGGGGGGGGGGGATAGGGGAAATCGTTCCATCTGGCCAGCAGAAATGCTTGCCTGTAGAGCAACATTGAATTCCATCTTAAGACATGATGTAGCCAGAGTTAAGTAATTTTAATTCCCATTGATTTAAATGCACGTGCTTAGTTTTGTGCCATGGATATCAGTGGAACTGGATCATGCCCTGCATTTATTACAAAACTTCAGCGGCGGACATCCAACTTACATTGTTCTTTTTCCTGCGGAGATAATCCCTTGAAAACCCACCATCAACATACTTTTTACTAAGACTGTGGCTGCAACCTTAAATACACCTACCTGGCAGTAAGTCCCTTCAAACTCAAAGGGGCTTACAGCTGGCTGCAAATTTACAGATTTGTATTGTAAATGTGTCTGTCATCCACACAACTCACTCCTGGATTGGAGGTCAAATATTTTCCCCAGTCAAAGAATTGAACAGTTCTTTTTGACCATTAGAATAGGACCAAAATACATCAGCAGGAATGAAAGCATTTTTTTCGCTTGACAGTGATATATGCCACCATCAAATTTCATATGCATAGAGTCATCACACATGGAGTATTCTTCAGCTACAAAGTGGCTGATTTCAGTAGGACAGATGCATTTTTTAATTCTTTGAATTTTTCATTCCTTGGGAACTAAAAGTGTGTTTAATTTTTACCAGATTGCCTTCTTTTATATCATTTTAAAAGTCAGCAGGCAATTATCTGTGTTTTTAGTAACAACATTAAAAAGCACAGTAAAAGGGGGGGAAATGGTACAAAACTTAACAGGTTTCAGCTGAAGTATAAAAACGAAACTATAAATAACAAAAAGGATCAGAATTCTCAACTAGGCTGTTTGCTAATTTATCACTAGCACAACTGTCTGTGAAACTGAGACACCCAGCTAATTTATTACTAATGCAAATGCATTTGCACAGTCTGTTGAAATTCCTACAAGTTATGTGATGAAGAAGAAATAGAGGCAAAATCCATTTAGCTGGACTTTTGAGACAGGTTTTTCTTTTGTGAGTAAGACATGCTTAAAATCCAGTGCTGCTGAATGATGTGTCCTTCAGCCTATTTTGGGCATCTTCATTCAAGTATACAAGATTCTGTTATATAACCTTGTTAGGTGAAAAAAAGATGGGCACAAATGGAAAGCGATGAGTTTCAGAATAAACAGTAAGATATGAACCATCTGTATGACTCCTCAGTCCTAAATGCAAAACCACCTTTTAAGTCCATACGGAACAGAAACAATAAAGATCTTTATTCCTGGAATCCTTCAAAACAACAAACTTAACTTTCGCTCCTCAATAGTCTTGTTGCATAACATGCCTTGCAAGCAACCTCTGCCCTGTTTCATAAAGGCATAATGAACAATGGCGTAGCCATAGAAACAAGATTTACCCTGAAGCCTATACTGCTCTATTGAAAGTGTTATGTGGTTATATATAATCTTTCCCCCTTCTTCTTCAAACCACAGTTTTGCTTGAGCAATGAAACAGCAAGAAGGTCTGATCTGATCTAAGAATTCTCTGACCACACCGCCCTTCATCCCAGCTTACCTTCTGCCATCATCAGGGTGCCCAAACCAAAGACTTCAACTTCAGTGAAACCTTCAGGGAGAGTGTGTGGTGTTGCCATCTTTAAAGCAGCAAGGCCAGACTAGCTTAGGCTCTGCCTCCCCTACTAGCAAACTCCAAGTGACAATCTCTCTCTCTCTCTCTTTTTTTTGGCTAGATGTTCTGACTCTTCCGAAAGCCTAAAGCAGCTTCCTTCTTAAAGGGCCAGTTGGTGCATGGACATGGACTGAGTACAGTACAGTGGTTCCTCGGGTTACAGATGCTTTGGGTTATAGATACTTCAGGTTACAGACTCCGCTAACCCAGAAATATTACCTTGGGTTAAGAACTTTGCTTCAGGATGAGTACAGAAATCGTGTGGTGTGGCGCAGCAGCGGCAGCAGGATGCCCCATTAGTTAAAGTGGTATCTCAGGTTAAGAACTGTTTCAGGTTAAGTATGGACCTCCAGAACGAATTAAGTTCTTAACCTGAGGTAGCACTGTATTATGAGAAATGAGCTCTCTGTGCAGCCTTTTCCAAAATCCCCATAATACAAGCAAGTGACAGCAGTCACCTGCCATTACCAGTAAGCTCTGAAAATTATAGTTCACAGAGGGGGAAACAAAACAGGAATGTGCTGTTGGTCTTTACAGCAGTTACTGTTGCAATATGGATAAGAAATTAATCCATTCCTGGTTTTATGCTTATGTAGATTCAGAGTGACCATTATTTCATCCGAGTATTCCTCTCATTTGTGTACAGCTTAGGCTTCATATGACCATGCATGCAAGCATTTAGCTCCAACGTAAATCTCAAGTAACAATGGAGTCTAGCCCAACTCCCATCGCTATCTACCTCACAGAAGAATGTCCTACTGAATTCAGTGGGGCTTACTCCCAGGTAAGTGGGGTTGGCATGGCAGCCTTAGTCTGAAAACCAAATAAAGTACTGTGGTGAACAGCTATTTGAAGTAAGGTAATTGTCTTAGCTAATGGTCAGGGGTCCCTTTACCTTTACCTTTTACTTTAATTTTCTTAAATAATTTGATATGTAACCATAGCTTGCTATCTCTTTCTCTTAATAAACGGCCTTTCTTGGGCCTCCGTACAAATACATTTATCGTGGGTAAATAACCACTAATTACAAAAAAAATTACATAATGCTAAGCTGCCTTTTTCATTTAATTCACTTACATGTTAAATGAGCGACTCAGAAAATGAAATGAGACTTTAAGAGAGCGAACCAAACTCTTTCAAAAACTAGGAACATGGGAAGCTGTCTTATGCTGAGTCAAACCATTAGTCCATCCATCTCAGGACTGCCTACACTGACTGACAGCCGCTCTTCAAGGTTTTAGAGGCTGACACTCCCAGCCCTACACAGAGATGCTAGGGACTGAACCTATAACCTTCTGCACGCAAAGCAGACATGCTATTGCTGACGTATGGCCTTTCCCCATGAAATGACCTCAGTATGAAATGACCTTCTTCACAATGAAATATATGACCAAATAAACAGCAGAGCTGTTACCTCTGATGAGCAGATTCCATAGTTTCACAGAAAAGCACAGTGAAACATGCAAAACCCACATGGATGCACAGCCTTGTCTCAGCTATGAAAACTTTGATAAAGCCTCTTTGGCATCCAGCTTACATAAATAAAGTACCACACAACTCTGTAAAATAAATTTACCTGACTACAATTGCTCATTTCTCCATGCCCATAATGATTTTAGGTTGTCACCTGAAAGCCTGCGGACAATGGATTAAGCAGTAGTTCCAAAGGCTATTCTGGAAAATCATTTTAGTTCCCGGGTTTCTTTTGTTTCAGGATTGCTTCTTGCATCCATAGCTGGTCTTCATAAACTATGCGAAGCACCTGAGAAATGGCAAGACCTTTTAATCTGAGCTATGAGGTCTTAAGCAGCTTCAGCCTCTCAACTACAATGGAAAGAATAGCACTACAGGGTATATTATTAAGTATAATGTAATATTTTAAGGATGATATATAATAAAAAGTGCTTTGAGCTTCTAAAGTGAAAAATAAATGCTAAATGTTATTACATTTACAGTTCCCACCAGCTTTTGAAGGTGTACTAGGTGTTTTGAATGTATTCTATTATTCTAGGCATGTTTTGCGACAGGCAGTTGCATTAACGCGAGCAGTTTCTGAGCTCTGGGTACAGTACTGAGGCTAAGATTTCAGATTAAAATGGCCACTGCTAGGCAGGGAAAGGACTAGACCATGTGAAAAATGAACGTAAGATATTAGCTGAAGTTCATTCATTTTCAGCTTTGTTTTCTTGCTATAAAAAAGCACACCTGGACATTCCATTGTTGCACCCATAACCTAGGTTTAAGGTGCAACTTAGCTAGCATTCATATCTCAGTTTCTAACTCTGGTTCCACTATATGGTTCATCTCTGTCTTATGCAGAATTTCCACGAGTGATGCACATTCCTGGCATGGAGATTCTGTAATCATTGGGTGAACCAAGTGGTGAGCAGATGTCAAGTGTCTGGTCTTCTGCATTGTGGGATTCTCTTTTGATGGCACCCACATTAGGATTTGGACCTCATATTTGACGTGACTCATATATTTCAATGAAATCAATGGGTCTTATTTCCAAGGAAAGTATGGAAGAAACCATGAAATATGGTGGTACAATCAAAATTGATGTTCACCTATACCAGTCTGATATAGTACTTACTATTGTACTCCTATTTCCTGATCTATTGTCTGTGGTTCTGGAGTTGAAAGCCTTCAATTCTGAGTGGAAGCACCATATTATGAAAGTGGTAATTATTATTAGTTCTATTTAACACAGGCTTTATTTCTTTTTTCCTTCCTTCCTTCCTTCCTTCCTTCCTTTGGAGGTCATATCTGCATTTCATCCAGTCTCCATCCCACCTCCAGTTCATCTGAACTGTAGAAGATGTAACCACAGTAACTACAATGACCCTGTACCCAACAGTATTCCATCACAAGCATTTTTCATTGTTTCAAACCCTCCAACATTTTTCCCAGTTGAAAAACTGAGACACTTTTGTAACATTCGTATTCTCACTAAGACTCACCACCTGGGCATCAGTTGCCCATTATATTCCTCATATGCTGTATCCAGATACATATAATGAATCAAGTTACTCTGCAATGGTATATCTTGCAAGGGTATCTAAACTGGCCATAACCTTTTCCTAAAAGTGTTTAACAACGAACCTGGGTTTAGTAATCAGGGACAGGTCTTGGGGATAGATGCCCAGGACCCCACTCAGCAGAAAAAGTGGGGGGGGGGCAAGATGCAACAAACCTGGTTTATCATATTTGGAAGGGGATGAAATAATACATGTTACTATTTACAGATGCCACCCCCTCTTCAACAAGACAGGTAAGAGGTCTAGAGCCAAAATTTGCAAGGGCATGATGAGAACATGCAACCTTTTCCCTCTCCTCCAGTGTATAGCAGGGATTATTGACTTGCACCACTGGTATTACTATGGAACAGCTGCAACTCAAATAAATTCAGCAATGCTTACAATCAGTGATGGGAGGAAGGGAAGAAAATGCACTGGAAGATTGTGCCCTTGTGAGTGCATGTCCTAGAGTAAGTTGCAGCCCACCTCCCATTGCACTATCTATCTTCTAGAGACCCAGGGGAGGGGCTTGAAACTTGAAGGATACTGTTGTGCAACGTGTTAACAATTTTAAAAAGCCATTCATGGCATGTTCCACAAAGCTGATTTATCAAGATCAAAAGCAAAGCATAAAGGAAAATAAAGGCCCGTTCATGATAAATAGGTAAAGGTAAAGGGACCCCTGACCATTAGGTCCAGTCGTGACCGACTCTGGGCTTGCGGCGCTCATGTCGCTTTATTGGCCGAGGGAGCCGGTGTTTGTCCGCAGGCAGCTTCCGGGTCATGTGGCCAGCATGACTAAGCCACTTCTGGTGAACCAGAGCAGCGCACAGAAACACCGTTTACCTTCCCGCCAGAGCGGTAACTATTTATCTACTTGCACTTTGATGTGCTTTCGAACTGCTAGGTCGGCAGGAACAGGGACCGAACAATGGGAGCTCACCCCATTGCCGGGATTTGAACCGCTGACCTTCTGATCGGCAAGTCCTAGATTCTGTGGTTTAACCCACAGCGCCACCCACGTCCCCTCCATGATAAATAGGGGTGGTTAAAGTATATGTGTTGACTTCTATTTCTGACACCATTTTTATTTGGAGCTACCCCAGCTTACCTTCTACCAGCAGGGCGGTGCCAATACTAAACACCTCTAATTCAGTGAAGCCTTCAGGAACAGGGTATGCCGAAGTAACCATGTCTGCAAGAAAAATGCACCCTATTTTGGGCTCTCCACCCCAGCCACAGAAGTGACCCGATCACTTCTTTTCACTGAATTTCCCAGTAGTCTAAGACATCCTTCCTTCTTAAAGGGCCAATCCGCGTGCTGACACATGAAAGTTCTTATAGAAAAGCTTTGGGGCTTTAATGCCAGCATGGCAATCCTTACAAAAATGCCCTTAATGAGTCCGGCAGAATCCCCATCTCCCCGCACCCCCTGCAACTGCTGCAAATCGCATTTGTGTATTGTGGCAAAAGGAGAAGCATTCACGGAAATCACAACAGGCTCTTTGTAGGGATGAAATTTAAGAACGCCCTCCAGTTAATTCTGCAACACTGGGAAAGAATTAAAGGATGCTGGAATGGCCAGTGGGGGAGTGAGAGGTAATTGGGGAGTGACCTGAATAAAAGCAACAAATGTTATTCAACGTCTAATTAGGGGAAAGGGGACAAAGGGAATTTCTGGAGCACATATTTTGTTGTTCTTATGAAAGAAATCCAATGGCCAGCAATTTTTGTGAAACTGTTTTCCTCCTTTCTGGTCCTGTTTTGTAATGGGCTGCTAATAACTTTGCAGATGAGCAAACCACAGTTACATATCTGAGCTGCTCCCAAAGACAAAGCCTGCTCAAAAGGCCATGGCCCCTTGCAAGTTGGTGCCCGCTGCTGCAAGTCCCACTAAAAGCTGATTCCCAAAATACATTTCAAACTTGGGACCAGTTAGAGGTGCTGGCCAATGCTCAGCTGAGCTGCTACAAAATGCTAGGCCATGTGTCAAGTTTGTTGTCTAGTAGAACTTACGTTATCGCTAGGAAGGATGGATGGATCTGCCAGTTTTGGTTCCTTCCATTTCTCATTTTTCTAGTCTTAAATTCAGCTTTCCACATTCCTGAACAAGTTGGCAATTGTTTCAATAATAACAAAAAATGCTTGTGAAAATTCATCCGCATGTTAGTGCAAATTTCTCTGAATAGACACATTTTTGCAAGGTGACTTTCTCTTACAATGCATGCTTGTGTGCTGTTTTCACTGCTGTGTAGCCATTTATGCACACTAAACCTTATCATATGCATTTTTCTACACATTACTTGACTGGAGTACTGCATTGCAAAATTCGGAGAAGTGCAATTTTTGAAGAATGGCTGCCTTTCGGTTCACAAATTGTTTCAGAAAGTGTGAATTTGGCAGGTTTGTCATCAGAAGTGAGAGACTGAGCAGAAGAATCAATATTGCATTCCCCTTTTTCTTCTCCCAATAGTGGCCATCCATCAAGGTGACCAAGGCCGATATCATCCCCGAACGGGGCCTGAACTTGGACTGAGATGGGTCTAGATAATGAGTTTCATCCAAGAATACCTGCAGCTACTTCACCACAACTCTCTCAATCACCTACCCAAAAAACCAACGTATTAGCATCCAGCCAAAAACTATTGTAGACTAAAGGGCACCACTCCATCACATTCACCATATCCTGGACCTGCCCAGACATGCTGTGCCAGCTAGATTTTATTAACCTCAAGGGACAGGGCACATGGCTGGATGCATAGATACAGGAACCTTGTCAGGGTTCTCAATCCACATCAGCTGAAACTGATCTCATAAAACCTGGCCAGATGTGTCACTGGAGAGCTCACTTGCTTCTGCACAAACTATGTCATCAATAACACGATGAAGATGAACACAGTTTATGAAGCCTAACACTTTGTTTTCAAGTAGTGTTGTCATCTTGGGGTGGATAGGCACATGCTATGTTACTCTTGTCTGAAATGTGTTCAAATGGCCAGGCAACCCATGTTCAGGCGGAAAAGAACTAAACCTTTGGAGTTCTTACTTCCACCGGAAGTTCATAAATCAATCTCTAGACCAGAGGAGGAAAAGCTGTGATCCTCCAGACGTTGCTGGAGTCCATCTCATATCAGCCCCAACTGAAGTGGTCAAGGATGATGGGAGTTGGAGCTCAGAAACGTCTGGATGGTCAAAGGGATCTGCAACAGAAACAAAGTATTTTTATTGACTTTGTTAAAGTGGGGAAAGCACTAAAAAAATAAAAAATCAACAGGTTACTAAATTGAGGGCATAGTGTATTAAACTATGAGACAGAGCAATCTTAAGGATGCTAACCTGGCCCATCTGGGTTAGTCAAAGTGTATTAATAGGTCTCAATGAGGCTGAAAATGTCTTAAACTTTATTGGAATGCCAGACAAAGCAGGACAATCGATGATACTTTTCCATTATTTTTTGCATTATTTTCTGTTTGGCTACAGACTGTATGACCTCAATCTCAACACGTCCTGTACACATGGCCTTTGTCCATTCTGTGCATTCACAAAAGAGCTGCAGGCTTGATTTCTTTCTCCTACACATCCAAGCAGAAGTAGAGATCCAGGCACGGCAGCCTATTCAGTGCCATCCACTTACAAACCGTTAAAATGGGATTACGAGCCTGTCCTGCTATAAAACCCTTTTTTCAGTGTCTCTGCTGTCGATTGTTAAAAGGCCTTTCCATTATGATGTTCATGAAAAAGGAGAGCAGAGTGTTCTAGGGAGAGGACACGGCTGTTGCATAAACTCTCCTTTCCAATTGTCCCCTGTGTGCTCTTTTGGTGAGGTCCAAAAGCCTCTTGTTTTGATTTCTCCTGAGATTACACGGTACAAACAGTATGGGTGCAATCAATAAAGAACATCTCTTGTTCTGGCCTTGTGCCTGTGCCCTTCTTTCTCACATTTATTTCATTCTCTGCAGCACAAAGTAGTTTCTTTGTTTTGTTTTTGCTATTAAGCACTTATTGATAAGCCAATAAAGTCGGAGCAAATTCAAAAAATAGACTTTCAAGTGTCAGAATTCCAGAAATGAAAATGCTCTATTCAGCAACTGGTGAGTGAGAGGGGATAGAAAATATGTTGAACTGGGGAGGCCTGAACTTGAGTCCCCATTTAGACTTTACCTTTGCCTCGCATTCATTGGAACGCAGTAGGGTTGCCATATCCCCAAGAATGAAAATCCGGTTTTATGAGATCAGTTTTGGGGGATCAAAGTTGTTGAGCTTTTTGGGGGGAACATTTCCCCAAAAAACATTCATTTTGGGGGTTTTCTTAGATTTTTTAAAGTAGCCCAACTTCAGCAAAAATCTGCTCAGGCGCCATTTTTCTTAGCGATTCCGGGACATGTCCAAGAAAACCAGGACGTATGGCAGCCCTGGAATGCAACAAATCTTCCAGGGCAAACAAAGTAAAGAATATGAAGTAGATCTTTAAATTTATATGTTTATTTTTTTTGATTAAGCTTTTGAAATAGCTAGTTTGTATTCCCTTGCCATGTCACCACTGGCAGAGGAAGGTGGGTGTGGTAGGTACGGCCTGCCCCGGGTGTCATCCCTGAGGGGGGTGACATTGCCGCCCTGCCCCCCTGGGATGCTCGCTGCAGGCAGAGGCGCCTCCCTGGGACGCTCGCTGCTGGCAACATCCCCCGTGCTCCCCGCCCAGCCCCTGTGGGATGCTAGCCCCGCCCCTGTGGGGAGCTAGCCCCACCCCACGGGTGACTAGCCCTGCCCCCGGGTGCCCAGCATGTGTGCCGCTCCAGGTGTCGGAGCAGCTAGCTCCACCTCTGCAAGTCACACGGCTGAAGTCAATAGCCAGTTTCACCATGCCTATTAATTATACATTGGTCAGGCTTTGAGAAATACTCAGCAAACTCCATGGGGACTTTTTGTTATTTGATTGACTTCTTGGAACTTTGGATCCACTAAAATTTGCTTCTACCTTTGTACTAGTGCCTGTACTAGTCTATTCCCAGTGTAAATAACTTAGGAATGCCCCATTTCAGCAGCTTCTTCTGTTTGCCTTAGTCCATGGCAAGGATATTTTAGAGAAGGTTTGTCTCCATGTTTTTAGGATCTTACGGGCTGGATCCAATACCATCCTTACGGGTTGGATTCAATATCATCAATTGCATGAAGTGTTCAGGACAGATAAGAAAAACGGTTTCTCAAACGAAGCTTCATTATTAGAAAAAGTGTTATTACAAAACCAAACCAAGGTAATATCAAAAATATATGATACATTATTGGAGTGGGAGGTCAAAGACGAACAGGTCAAGGAGGTAATGATCAAGTAGGCTTTAGCTATTGGGAAAACCATTAACTTCACAGCATGGGAAGAACTATGGAGAAAGAACTTGAAATTTACAGTCTGTGAAGTATTGAGGGAAAATCTAATCAAGATGTTTTATAGATGGTACTTAACACCTACCAAAATAGCTAAAATGTATAAGACAAAAACAAATCTGTGCTGGAGGTATGGTAAAACAGAGGGGACACTTATACATGTTTGGTGGACCTGTGAAAAAATCAAAAGCTTCTGGAACATAGTATATGACGAGCTTAAAAAAATGTTTAAGTATAACTTTATGAAAAATATAGAAGCTTTTCTACTAGGGATAACGGACACAGGTATAGCAAGAGAACATCAGAAAATATTCCTCTATGCCACAGGAGCGGCAAGGATCCTAACTGCTAAAAAATGGAAAAAAGAAACTGTGCCAACAGAAAAGGAATTGCAAGACAAACTGATAGAGTATATTGAACAGGCTAGAGTAACAGAGGCAATTAGAGATCACGGTAGACAAGACTTTCAAAAAGCATAGGGAAAATGCAGAGAAAACAGTGCCCTAAAATACATACCTGGACTTGTTTCGATTAATGTCTGCAGGAGACTTTGTGGATAATTAAGTTATAATTAGAAAAATCTTAATAATTATTCATAAAGGAAACAGCTTATAAGAAGTAAATAAGGAGGCCAGGTACAGGATAAAGGAAGTCTTTTATTTGGTTGTTTGTATTGTTGTATGTTATGCTCATTGTATGTTATGTTCACATTTAATTAAGATGGATTTCTGTATTGGGGGGTGGGGGGTTTATGTTATGTTGTAAATAAAATTTCCAATAGAGAATTCAAAAAATAAAAAATAAAATAAGGATC